ATACAAAGAATCTGCACACACACACACACACACACACACACACACACACAGACAGAGTCTTATTAAATGTGTGAGTCTCAGGATACCTCAGACACAATTCCCCTCTGAGTGATAATACTGAGTGCACATGTGATGTGGATAAGGAGCACAGTGTGAGTCTCATCATCAAGTCTCTCAGACACTCTTTAAGCACATTTCTGTGTCACTTGTTTTGCTCTGAGACTCGCAGTTTGTGTGTTTAATTATTTCAGTGTCTATTAATAGTTACAGCCACTCTCTCCTTCCTCCATACACATGATCTCTCTCTCTCTCTCTCTGTCTCTCTCTCTCTCTCTCTCTCTCGGAATGAGAGGCAATAAATTACCAGCCAGCTGCATCACTCACTTGGTTATTCGGGTTTTTGCATTTCACTTCGGAAAGTTTTATTTACCATACCAAGACAGCTTTATTTGATTAAAAATAAAACAGCATTATTGTGAAATATTACAATTTTAAAAACGTGTTTTAAAAACTGTTTTCTATTTGAATATATTTTAAAATGTAAATTATTCCTGTGATGCAAAGCTGAATTTTCAGCATCATTACTCGGTCTTCAGTGTCACATGATCCTTCAGAAATCATTCTAATATACTGATTTGCTTGGGCTGATACGCGTTGGTGTTTTTTAACATGTAGCCCTGTCTTACAATAAAGGCTTTTTATATTTTGCCTGCTATGTGAATGCCTGGACGTGGATTTTTATTTATTTATTTATTTATTGTTTCTTGCAATGGGATCCACTTTTTGTTTTTGATACTGATTTGCTGCTCAAGAAACATTTACTATTATCAATGTTGAAAACAGTTTTGCTATTTAATATTTTATAGACATACACTTTTTCAGGTTTCTTTGGTGAATAGAAAGTTCAAAAGTACAGCATTTATTTGAAATATTATTTTTACATTATGGATGTATTTACTATCAATTTTGATCAATTTAATGCAAGTATTAATTACTTTAAAAAAAATCGTAATGACCCCAAACTTTTGATCTGTAGTGGAACTAACTGGACCATGTGAAACAACCAAAATATGATCAATCCCTAGTAGCTTGATATTGTAAAAAATCTATCACATTTTTCAGGTTTCTTTGGTGAATAGAAAGTTCAAAAGTACAGCATTTATTTGAAATATTCTTTTTACATTATGGATGTATTTACTATCAATTTTGATCAATTTAATGCAAGTATTAATTACTTTTAAAAAAATCGTAATGACCCCAAACTTTTGATCTGTAGTGGAACTAACTGGACCATGTGAAACAACCAAAATATGATCAATCCCTAGTAGCTTGATATTGCAACACCGGCTGTTTGTTTCACCAATGACAAATAGTGGGAGTGTTTGGGAAACCTATTTGAAGACAATCATTATTTTTTAAATGTACAGTAGAGGCACAGGAATTAGACACTTTAGACACCTTTAACATTGCTGACAGTCAAATGCTTTAAAAAAAAACACACAAATCTGTTCTGTCCGAGAGAGCGGCCCTTATATTTTCACCCTTGCTGATGGAGTTTATGAAATCTGCTTTTGGATAAACAAAGAATACTTACAGCGTGTTGGGGGACATAAAGGGGCTGATTTATGGAAAATTCTGGGAGGTGAAAAAAAAGAAAGAATTTCTTTTTTTTTGGACTTCAAATACAGTGGCATGCGAAAGTTTGGGAATCCCTTGCAGAATCTGTGAAAATGTGAATAATTTTAACAAAATAAGAGAGATCACACAAAATGCCTGTTATTTTTTTTATTTAGTACTGTCTTGAGTAAGATATACTACATAAAATATGTTTACATTTAGTCCACAAGAAAAAAATTGCTATTAAAATAACCCCATTCAGAAGTTTTTATTTTCTTCAAATTTCTTGTGGACTAAATGTAAACTAATTTTATGTAAAATATCTTATTCAGGACAGTACTAAATAAAAAATAACATGCATTTTGTATGATCTCTCTTATTTTGTTAAAATTATTCACATTTTCTGCAAGGGGTTCCCAAACTTTCGCATGCCACTGTGTATATAACCCATCCCAACTAATTACAGGACTACCTTTTTGTCCAGTTAATGGCAGATGTGGCATGTTAGTGGAATAGAAATTTCACACTTCACATTTAAACATCCTAAAACGTGTTAAATGGAGTACAATACTCGTATCAGTAGCTGGTAAAATAATCAAATTAGCCAAAATATTTCACAAACCATGTGAAAGGGAAGGAGATGCACTTAAGGTACATTTAACAACATGCAAATTAAAATAAAGCAGTTAATGCCATAGATAGGTTGTATTAAACATTAAAGTTAAACAAAATGCTTTACCGTCACTCTGATTCCCTCCATTACCCTGTAAGTCATGACCTTCCAGTGATTCACAACCAGTCTGGGAAAAGTGTCCCTGCTAACACTGCCCAGATGGACTGCTGAGCATTTCTGCAATTGTGCTTATTTAAACTATTACATATATTGAGATTAAAAGCCACACATAATTAGATAAAGGGTTATTACAACATTTGGGGATTATTTTGAATCTGCAGATTAGTTAGAGTATCACATGAGTAGAGTTATTCTAAAATTTGACCCAAATTCCTCTATCTTTTGGAAAGCTCCCATTCTGAACACACCGAGGGCATGTTATCTGATCCTACAAACAAAGTGGAAAGAGAATGGATCTGTTAAAATAAAATGAGGATTATATTGTACAATCCTCATAAGAGTCCTGAAAAAAAAGAGACATTTTCCTCTTCGCTCTATGCTGTTCTGGCCTCTGGGAGCAGAAGTAATGCTTGATGAATTGCCTTTAACATCAAAATGTCCTTGTTATCCGAAACACCTCATGACCCTGGTGACGTCTCTGGAGCTGCGATAGAAAAGCAGTTTCGCTAATCAGCAGGTCAACATGGAATCTGCTACTGCAGAACTTCACAAAGTTTCACAGATTTCCCAAAAATGTGTATGTCCATCAAGATATATAAAGCTACGAAAGGTGCAATACTGTGAATGGCTAAATGGAGTTATGTAAAATTAGTGCCCTGTTGCTTTTATAGAACATTGACTACATAAAAATATTAAGGACACAATTCTCCCAAAAACATTTTTTTTTTTTTAAATGAAATACTATCCTAACAGTCGCTAACATCAAATATTGCTATGCAACAATAATAACAATCTACTATGTATGGAAGCCTGGTTCAGCCACAGGATAATAATAGTGACTTTATACTTCACAATTATAACTTCAATTCTGAGTTTATTTCTTACAATTGGCTTAACTAATTAGGGGACTAGCTGTTTGTCCAATTAATGACGGATGGGGGAAGTGTGGTGTGTTATAAAAGGATCAGAACTAACTGTTTTATAATAAGGATGTTTGGCTAATTCTGCTTTTAGCTACCCATACAACCACAGTATTCTCAACTTAATTTAACAAATTTTAGCATGTTTAAATCCATTCAAAATCAGTGCATAATGCCCATAAAGTGTGCAGATTTCACACTGGCCTGCTAATCAGTCTACAATGAGGTTTCAAATCTCTCAAAGCAGCAGAGATTCTGCAGGAGGCTGTTCTTGGCAGATACTGCTATCAGCAGAAATGCTAATGGGATTCACCTCTTGCCTATGCAGAGCCAAGAATGCGGCCTCACAGTGGGATAG